CGCCCCGGCACTCCCACCCCATGGAGCCTCTGTTATTGGGACCTCCCACCCCACCATTTCTTCCCCAAAACCGACCGACACCCCCCACCACGTCTCCCACCACGCCCCGGCACTCGCACCCCATAGAGCCTTTGTTTTTGGGACCCCCCACCCCACCATTTCTCGCCAAACACCGACCGACACCCCCCACCACGCCCTTCACCACGCCCCGGCACTCCCACCCCATGGCCCTTTTGTTTTGGGAACCCCCCACCCCACCATTTCTCGCCCAAAACCGACCGACACCCCCCACCACGCCCCCCACCACGCCCCGGCACTCCCACCCCATGTAGACTCTGTTTTTTGGGACTCCCACCCCACCATTCCTTGCCCAAAACCGACCGACATCCCCCACCACGCCCCCCACCACGCCCCGGCACTCCCACCCCATGGAGCTTCTGTTTTTGGGGCCCCCCACCCCACCGATGTCCTCCGTCCTTCCTCTTTTCCCTTTCCTCGTCCTCCCATGCCCCTTCCAGGTGCGCCCCTTTTTCAGGCCGGACACTAAAAAGCCTCCTTTCCTCTTGTGCTCGCCGCGCACAGCTCCCGCGCTGCCTTGGCATAACCACTACTTCACTTTCTGCCTCTTCCCGACCATGGCATAATTACGTTCCGCGATTTCTTTATCCTTGCATTCTTCGTCCTCGCCACATGCGTTGCACCGTTGCAGCCCATTTGATTTTTTCGTCGCCCGCTTGGCCAACCAGCGGCCGAATTCAATCTTCGGGAACACGCCCTTGCAGGCTACGCATTTCCAACATCCGCGTTGCACTCTCGCTCTCTCGGTGCAACGCATGCACTTCCGGTCCTGATCAGCCACGTTGGCCCACATGCGACCCGAAAAGAACTCGCGTGGTTGACATTTCCCGCACTCCACGCAAACTTTGGCATTCTTCCGCCCTTCCGTCAGCCGGTTTGCATTTGCAGCTTCGATGCAACGCATGCACTTGCGGTCCTGAGCAGCCACGTCGCCCCACATGCGAGCAGAAAAGAACTCGCGCCGCTGAGACTTCCCACACTCCGCGCAAATCTTCGAACACTTCCTAGATTGTGCGTTCCGCTCTGCAGCCTCGGTGTCGACGCACGCGGTACACACTACCGACGCTCTGTCCGTGTGGTCCAACTGGTACCTGGAAAACTCTGTCTTGTTCTTCGACTTCCCGCACTTTGAGCATGCGACCGTTTTTTCAGCCTCCGCCCGCGCCTTCTCCTCCTTTCGCAGCAACTTCACACACGCCTTGCATGTGGGTTCGTCGTTGACCCGTTCCGCTTTAGAAAACTCACGCGGCAGCTTCTGGTGGCCACAGCGCGAACACTTCAGGTGCTTCTTCAGCTCCTCGCACTCCAGGCACATTCCCCCTTTACATCGGGAGTTTCCTGCCTTGTCCCACTGAAACTCCGCGAACGCTGCCTCGTACTTCCGCTCGTCGCACACATAACACATTCGCCTCTCGGGGCAGTCCACGCAACGCCGTGACGTCAACTTCGAGCTGTGGTGCTGGGAAGCGTGGAAAGCGCTCTCGCCCTTCCAATAAAAGCACTCCATGCACTGCCACGGCGTACCAATGCTCTTTTTGCCTTCCAAGCACACCGTGCACACGCGGAGTCCGTCGTCCCGGCTCCACTGCCCGCGCGCATACTGGTTCTTGTACTTCACCGACGAGCACACCGCGCACCTCCCTGCAGGCATGAACTCCTTCTCGATTGCATTCCAATCGATGGGGTCATTGGGATCGCCCCGCAAGAGCTGCAAAAGGTATCCGGGCCCCTTCCGCTCCTTCTGAGTGCACGGCTCGCGGTCGAAAGACCGGAAAATCAACATGTCCTCGCGGCGACGCACGCGCGTCAGAGCCACATAACTCGACAACGGCGACGTTCCCCCGCCAATCCTCAGAACCACGATGACGCCTTGCTTAAAAGTCTGGCCCTGTGCTGAGTGGGCCGTGACTCCAAACGCTGGGGCCAAGGGGAACTGCCGCCGCTTCACTTTCAGACGCGGGCACGGCCGGCCCTTGTCCACGAACCAATCTTTTTTTTGCGGAGTTACTGGGTGCAGGCCCGGCGTGGTCAGCCCCTTTATCGTCCACACGCACGGTTTTGCGTTCCCTGCCTCATCGAGACCCTCATCGAATTGGACAAATATCACTTTCGGCGTCTTCTGCAAGATAGTCTCCCCTCCCCGGGAGACGCGCCCTGTTCTTTCGTCGCCATCACATACCCATGAGTGCACGGTCCCCACGCGTCCGCGAAGCAGGTACTTGTCTTCGCTGCGGTCGATGTGATCGGTGAGGGCCACAGGCAGTCCCTCCGCGATCGGCAAAAAACCATGCAGGTCTCCGCTCTCTTTGTCGTGGCGTTGCAGCCAGGCCATCTTTTGGTGTGGCAGATCTGGCCGCTCGCGCAGAGCATCTGGCGTCGGAGTGTCGCGCGCAGGGACATACACCATCGGCTTCCGGTGCAGTCGGGCATATTGCGACGCTCGGAGTTTGTTCACCTCATACTTGACGTCGTTATTCGGGAACACTCCGGGGGCGCGCCGAAACTTCTCCGTGTGTATGCGCGGGTCATCTGGTCCTGTGATGACGAGACAGCGCCGTGCGCGCTCATCCTTGCACGCCCCACATTCCTTTTTGCGGATTTCCGCCGGGGTCACTGCTGAGCGCCGACGGCGTGTTCCGACAGCTTCCCTGTGCGGGCCCTCTGCGCTGACACACAAGGCCCTACATTCTCGGTTCCCACACCCAACATCACCATGGAGCCAACTCCCTGGGACACTAGTAGCCTTCCCGTGCAAAAATGAATGTGTGTCTTCCGTGAGCTCTCCTTTGCGGAACTCCTCTTGCACGGATTTCAGCCAGGAATCGTCGCAGCGCTCGCACTCCACTAGCTCCGTTACTCCCTGCACGCCCCCCTCACTTCCCCCCCACAGGAGACTTTGCCCGTGTAGTACTGGCGGGAGCGACATGTACTTTCGAGCCTCCGCGATGCGCTCTGTTGGGACGTCTGCAAGGAACCCTCCGTCCGGTGGGGCCAGTTGCCAAAAATCTCCGCTCATCACGACGTTCAGACCGCCGAAGGGTCGCGTCTCTCCACCTTCCCCGCGCTTCTGTGTGCCAACGTCCCGAATAACGCTGCGAAGCTTGTGATCTACTTCGGCGAGTAGCCGGGCGCTGACCATGCTGATCTCGTCGATGAACAACCACCTCCACTGCAGAACCCGCTTCGCTGTTTCGTACTGAAGTTTCACATATTCTCCCTTGTCGTCGCCACGTCTAACAGCGGGAATACCGCAGGCGTGATGCATGGTGTCTCCACCGAGCAGCTGGGCCATGACTGCCTGGAAGGCCGTGATCTGAAAATGGACGCCAATAGTCCACTGCATGATGTCTTCGAACAGCTCCTTCCGCAGAATCCGCAGCACGTGTGACTTCCCTGTGCCGGGTCCTCCGTGCATGCACCACCGCAGTGGTTCGCCCATTTCCGCTCCCCCTCGCGCTTCCCCATCCAGCTCTTGCATCACCCTCTCTGCTACATGCTTGACCATTTCGAACTGCTTCGCGTTGACAACGCGCCGGCCTGTGTTTCTGTCAGTCCTGAACTCAAGCTCCCTGAGCCACTCTACCACCTGGCCGCATGTCGCCCCTGCCTGCGCCTCCACCTTCCCACGCTCTTCTTCCGCCGCCACTCTGTCAGCCATTGATTTTTCCTTGCTCCGGGACGCCCTGGCTGCGTCCTGCACGGCCTCCAGATCACAGCTGATGGCTTTCGGCCACGCGTTCCGGATTTCCCCAAGCGACTTTTCACTGGGGCGCTGGCCCCACACTGCCTGGGCCACGGCCATGCCTGCTTTCGAGTTCTGGTAATGGGAACACCCACCCAGACCACCCTCCGGCCCAACGTCTTCTTCTCCACTACTGCTGTCACCGTCCCCGTCGTCACGCTTCCGACCACCGACGCGTGACTTCAGAGCCTCGTCTAGCTGGTCAAAGCCCACCTCCAATTCCTCGTCGCTCACGTCCTCATCACTCCGCGCGTCCCCATGCTCCGCATCCCTCGGGCGCACGCGATACACGCTGAGAAAATTGCCCACGTATCGCGCAGCCTCTTCTGACTGCACTCCGCCGTCTAGCCACGACACCATGGCCTCCTCCCACGTTTTTGAGCCTCGCCGCAGTCCGCCTGCGAAGACGACGTGATCGTCTGCCTCTGACTGTCGCAGCGTCCACGGGTGGAAATAAGACATGACTATCCGCGCGGATCGCTCAGCTTCTCCATGTCGGCTGCGAGGCACGGGAGCCCCGAAAAAGGTAGGCGCCAACGG